CAGTAATTTTTTTCACCCAATTGCCAAATTGTGTCAAATAGTAGAGTTGGTTAGGAAAATGAAAAAGAAGTGAATAGTAGGAGCCTCTGGTTTCTCCAGGAATGCCTTGCCACTCTCTTTTCTGCCTGGTTGTCCACAATCAACCCCAGACTGGTCAAGAATGATGTCAGTCCTTCCCCATCCCAGTGCTCACCTGTCTCATGCTGTAGGCAAAGAGGAAACCCATGTTGTACTGAACTTCCCGGAGCAAGGACACTGTCTGGAGGTGATCTTCCTCCGTCTCACCACAAAAGCCAGCAATGAAGTCGCTGCTGAGGCTCACACCTGTGACACACACAAAGGACAAAGGACACAGGTTGCTGCTGCTTACCTTCAAGAGAAGCCTTTGGCATTTATGGATTACAGAAGGAAGGATCGCAATTGTAAGGCCTTCCCTGGGAATATTCAGCCCATGTACAAAGAAAACAGAACAGTTGTTACAGAGTAAGAGGGGATGGGCCTGCTCGTCTATGACACTGCATGCCAGAGACTGGCTTCTCAGACTACATTCCCCTCTGCGCTAGAAAAGGTATTTTCCCTTCAAATGCTGGATTTAGGAACACAATAGGAATTCACATTTTCAAATTGGTCCTGCTTTTACTAGTGAAATCCTTGCAGTGCCCGACACATATGTATACTTCTGAATTTAGTTTAACATTATGGTCATTTATGACAATAGTAGCAATAACTGCCAGTTACTAAACACTTACTAAATATTAATACTACATTTTACTACCTAATTATCCCAACAATCCAATGAGGTGAGTACTATCAACTCCATTGTATAGATGAGGAAACTACAGCCAAGAAAAGTGAAGATTCTTATCTGCTGTCATACACCCGTTACAGTGCAGCTCACCCCAAAGTCAGTACTCCTAGCGTCCATGTTACCCTGCCCCAGAATAAACGTATCTGCGCATAATACAAGTTACAATAATTAGAAATTAGAAATGTGGGAAAATAATGTAGGCACTGTCAACCAAATCTAAACTAAAATACTACAGAGTAATTTTATTAAGAGGAAGGGGGAAGAGAAGAGGGAGTAAGGGTTACGGTAACAGAAAAGGAATCATTTCTAAAACTTACAGTATAGCCTGGGCAACATAACAAGACTC